TTCCATCAATTTGTAGACTGTCATACAATAAGTTCATATAATATACCTTATTAGATTATGTTATTAAGTTTTACTAGTATTTTCAGCGAAATACAATGGATTCTGTCAAGGCAGCTCAATTGATTCAATAAGATAAGCTGAAATAATGTTTTCCGTATTAAGAAAAATAATCCATTGTGAATCCTTTTTCGTAAGCGTTTGTTGATACTAAATTTAATTTATAGAACTGAAAGTCAAATAAGTTCCCCGAGGCCCGCATTCATCTATTCACACAAGCCATGACAATAGGCCACATCATCAAACATCAGAAAAAGAGAAAATTTAATTAAAAACGTTTACAGACAAATAAGTGTACATAGCTACGTAGGTATATAGGTRAACAGAATTTGATGGATTTTATAATGTGGAATGATGAAATTTATGAACTAGAATAATTTTAAATTTGAAGTGAAGTTGGTTATGAATACCCGCTAGATTGAAAATTATATAACATCCAATATTTTATGTAATAAATCGATGTCAACAGAAATAATTTAGGTTTCTTGTTCCTACTACTGAATTCTTGTACACACTAGATATTCGTGGTTATTTAAGAATAAAAAMAAAATKTACAAAAATATTATAATCGTATGGTAATGATACAAATTATTATAGAAAAAACAAAAATTTAAAATTATGAAAAATCTTAACTACCTATCTAAAGTGATAAAAGTGCGAGCACGCCGGATAATCAGCTTGTTTAAAATAATTATGAAATAACATATTTATCACTTTTAGTATTTTGCTAAAAAAAAGTAAWAAGTGAAAATTCTAAAAAATGTTGAGTAGCTCAGAGTAGGTATTTTATATAAATTCATCACACCATGTAATTTAATTCTATTAAATATCATTTCATTCGAATCTAAATCAACTGGGTAGGTACTTATCAGAAGATTAACACATCTGTATTATAAAACCTATTTATTCTTTAGCATATAATTAATAAATGAGAAGATATGGTAATATATATTATAAATTATATTCAATATTAATTATATTCACTAACTTTATTACGATTATAATAACTCTACAACATTGATGAAAAGCAAAATTATTTTTTTTCTATTTTAGTTTTTTCTTGATYGATCTTATATGTTAATCTACATTATAGAACTCTACTTACCAATCAATGAGTAACGACTATCGTGTTTTAACATAATATTGGAGTTATTTTTATTAAAAATCAACCACTAATATAAAACTCATTAATTTTTCTTTTTAAAGTTAGAAAATAACATTACGACATTAAGAAAYTTAATTCTTATGGTCAACATTTTGGTTTTTATTGGTTTTAAAGTCGTATCATTTTATAAAGTGTAGAAAAGGTGAATTCCATAATAAATCTACATAGTTTACCTAATATTTATTATACATACATAACATATATTCGTCTAAAATCTAAATCGATAACATGCGTTAGGTAGAGAGTAAGCTAAATAAAACGATTTAACTATATTTTAGACACGAGGAATTCAATTTCAATCGATTCAATTTTTAGTTCAGTCAACATAAGTTTTTACTTTTACAACTTTATTTCGAAGACATTRAAAACGATGATTTTTGGACGTGAAAAAAATACATATAATTTATTATATTATTCTCTCTTATTTCAATGTTTCTAGATCACGCAGGGCCGCAGCATGTAGGTGATATCCATACAAGTATTATCCACAAGAGATGACTTTCTGAAATAAATAATATTTCCCTCAGTGCCCGCCACTGTGGTGGAGTTTATATTATTTGAACGAATGGGTATGGCGGGACACTATATTATTATTATTATTATTACGAGATCCGGGGAAGAGAAAAAAAAACTTTTTATATCCAACACGCCTGCGACCGGTGCACAAAGTTTTTCGCTCGAGCAACCGTCTATGCCGAAGCCATCGCCTTCTCTCGGCTGTTGCACGGTTAAATTTCTCACATGTTCRAAGGTAAATTGACTGTGAACCGCTCGCAGATATATTTAGGGTGAACAAAATGTGTGCCAAACGAAAAGCTCGCGAAGCAACGGCGGGCGTGTAGGACGAACTATGGCGGTCCAGAGTCTCGAGAAGATCGTAAATTTTTCTACGTACTTTAGGCGTGAAGTATTATACGCGCACTTCTATACCCACTACTACCCCACACTATATTCTTCAACCATTACAACAACAACAACTATTACGAAACACGCACACGCCACTTCTGACTATATAATATATACATAATATATATATATAGTATATACTCACGTCTCCGCTGTAAACGTCCGATGCGTACAACAGGTCGAACGGCAAAGCTGCGAATAAATCTACCACGAACCAGCTCTTCAAGTAATTGAAGGCGATCGTTTTGGAATCCGACACCACTTCACCTTTTTTGTTGACGAACGTTGTCCGGAAATTGAACAATATATCTGCAAAATACAATAATACGAGATTTAAAAACTGAAATATTAATCAGAGCCGTGTCGATATCGTCAGTAGGTACCTATTGTATACATTTTTGGGCAATGATTTTACTACATTAGGTTTTGAAAAATACATGAAATTTGTTTTTGTTTTTGTTTGTTTTTTTTTTTTTKTGATAATTAATTTAATACGCGAAAAAGAAATTTCAACTTTAGAAATAAATATATGAATATCCATTTATACCTACAGCATTTACATTTAGAGTGAGATATTATAATATTTTATGTTCGTGGTTTAAACCTATCGTACATCTGTCTACATTATTATTTA